GATATAGATATAGATATAGATATATACACACACACACACATATATATATATATATACACACACATATAAAGTTATATAGATATATGTATCAAATCATATATATATATATATATATATATATCAAAGGCTGTCTAAGTACTACGATGGAAGGACCCACTGAACTGAACCGTGCACAAGCTCAGTGGCATAGCAATCCCACTCGTGCATAGTTCAGCGCAAGCTTTGACCAAAACAGAGCAATTGCTTCACACGCAATTTGATAGATAAGTTAAGCCTATATGAAAAATGGAAGAACGTCTATATGAAAAATGGAAGAACGTCTATATGCAACATGTATTAAAGCTTATATGAGACATGATTAAAGCCTATAAGCAACATGTATTAAAGCCTATATGTAACCTGTATTAAAGCTTATATGTAGCATGCATCAAATCTAATATGTAATATGTAGAATACATGCTTGCCATTCGTGCTGAGTAATCAATTCTATGGTGTCTGAACATATAGCGTATACGTATACGGATGCCTTATATTAGAGACACTCATCTCATATACATATATCCCATGAGCGTGTAGGCATTGCGTAGAGTTGAAGATCGATAAGTGAAGTGGGAAGACATACCCCGGTCTTGTGGTGCGCTGATATGGTGTCAATGGTGCTAGGTTCATAGCAGAAGTTTTCCATCATTTGAGACGGCAGCTCTACAGCATCCCACTCTATACCTGGAAAACGGGAATACAATAGATATAAATATAGATAAATGTATATATATATATATATATACGAATATATATATATATGTGTGTAAATAAAGAAATTAAGAAACATGTATTTATATAAATACAAACACACACACACACACATATATATACACACACACACACACACACACATATATATATGCATCAAGAGAAAGTTAGGGACTGTACGATACCCATCGCGGTCCAGACACCAGGCATCACTTGTCCATGGACATGGATAAATCTGTAACAAGCGTGTTCGAACAAAGAAATTATCATACATCGCACACGATCATGGAGACCTATTTGCGAGCGGTAGTCATACCATTAATGCCGGCTGCATCCCCGCAATCAACCTGTATATAAACCGGCAAGGCAATTTGAGTTAAGTTTGGCTTTGAAAAATCCACAAGGTAGTTTGAGTCAAGTTTGGCTTTGATAAATCTACAAGGCAATTTGAGTCAAGTTTGGCTTTGATAAATCCACAAGGTAATTTGAGTCAAGTGTGGCTTTGATAAATCCACAAGGTAATTTGAGTTAAATTTGGCTTTGATAAATCCACAAGGTAATTTGAGTCAAGTTTGGCTTTGATAAATCCACAAGGCAATTTGAGTCAAGTTTGGCTTGATAAATCCACAAGGTATTTTGAGTCAAGTTTGGCTTTGATAAATCCACAAGGCAATTTGAGTCAAGTTTGGCTTGATAAATCCACAAGGTAGTTTGAGTCAAGTTTGGCTTTGATAAATCCACAGGGAATTTTGGGGTAAAAAAATTGGCCTAGGGAGTCAGTAACGGTATTGACAGTATGTGCTCCAATTGGTACAGCAATGTTTAAATTGGGTAAGGGCATCTCGCGACCGTAACATGTTATAAGGTTGTGCACGTGTGGTATGTTAATAAACCATAATCTAATTACACCCAGCATGCCCAGGTATCGCGAGCGTATCAATGTGCGCGTTGTGGAGTGCTGGTAGCCTGTAGTATATCTCAGTGCCTTCATATTCCCAACTCTCGTCGTCATGTGTGTGAGATTAGAGTGGAGTTTGAATAGTTGGGTGTGCTCCTGCGCTTAAGTAAAATAACAAAACCCTAAACCCTTGCAAAAAGGTGTACACACACCACGGCATCTCCTTGAGAGCCGTTGAAGTCGTGTCAGCATATGCCACCATTGATATACTTATCGGATGTGTGTGGCTACTCGCACACACTTCGTGACACATTCAGATATTTGTTTTAACTAGGAACACATGCGTACTAGCTATACTTTCAGATACTTATAAGACTCCGTGAGAAAGTCTGGTACCTTTCGAGTCCATTTGACCTTCCACAAAATTCTACTGCTGCTAGCACGGAACGTATTGAAGTCATACACACGTGCGTGTGGATAGTTGGTCTATTTATTTTTAGGAACGTATTGAAGTCATACACACGTGAGTGTGAATAGTTGTCTGTTTATCTTTCGAACCTCTCTACTCATGTGGACATGTGTGTAATCTCTTCAACATGCAAGTAGGAACGCATAAGTAATAACAACGTGTTGCAAATGCACAAGCATCTCGTGATATATTCGTCCATCGTTTGATTTGTCCATCACGTTGACGTGCACGAATGTTGTCACGCTGCGTCTATTTTGTTTTGCTCATTCACTCAACCATGATAGGCATGTGCTGGCGAGGCACATCTTCTATACCCATCATATGTGGAAATCTGTATTCACATACAAACCAAGTCTTAAATATCCGACCTCGGATATCTATATATACATAAACATCCATTAATATTAATATGTGATAACTGGGTTTCTGCACACACATACCGTGGTCAGCATGTGCTGCAATGAATGCCCAAACTCATGGAAGAGCGTCTCGACCTCGCGGAACGTCATGAGCGACGGCTGGCCTTCTGCAGAAAACGTAAAGCACATGAAAACGTAAGGCACATGAAAACGTAAAGCACATGAAAACGTAAAGTACATGATCAGACACTTAAAACAAAGAATCGGGACACTCGGGGTGAACGACATAAAAACTAATACACTCGGATATTTAAACAACGAATCAGTGCACGTAAAGAAGTAGGAAACTATAATCAAACAATCAGGACACGAACCAGGACATCAGCGGATGAGCACATCACACACTACGCAGAAGAAACCCCTTGTACGATACACACGCATACATGTCCTCGCACCCACAACCACAACCACAGCCACAGCCACAACCACAACCACAACCACAGCCACAGCCACAACCACAACCACAACCACAACCACAACCACGTATGTATACGCCCTTGGACAAATGCGCAGACGCACACCCAAACACCCCCACCATACCCTGCGCAGGTGTGGTTTGGTTGCACACCAGGAATGCCACCGGTACGTCGTGGTGCTGTGCCTTGCTCTTGCCCACGCACGTGTCCATCCATGCGCCGCCTCGCTTGACGCCGGGGCGACTGAAGGCGTCCATGAAGAACTTGGCGATGGTAGTACCCTTAGCAGAACCCTCTCTACGCAACGAATGGTATCGAATCAGGTGTTATAGGATAGGATAGTTGGGTATGCATGAGCCACGTGGTAGTGTGTATGTGTATAGGCCTGTGGGAAGTGTGGTAGTCTGGTTTAAAAGTGGTATGTATGTATGTTTGCGTGTATGTGTGCAGGCCTGTGGGAAAGTGTGGTAGTCTGGTTTAAAAGTGGTATATATGTATGTTTGCGTGTATGTGTACAGGCCTGTGGGAAAGTGTGGTAGTCTGGTTTAAAAGTGGTATATATGTATGTTTGCGTGTATGTGTATAGGCCTGTGGGAAAGTGTGGTAGTCTGGTTTAAAAGTGGTATGTATGTATGTTTGCGTGTCTACCTGGCTTGACACCAGCGCGGCTGTAGACGCCCATGCAGGCCGTTACAGTGTGTGTGTATTTTAACCAGGCTTTCATATATATAATTGTATGTGTGTGCCAGGCTTTGATGTGCATATGTGTGTGTATTTTAACCAGGCTTTCATATATATAATTGTATGTGTGTGTCAGGCTTTGATGTGCACGTGCGTGTATATACCAGGTCTTCATATATATAAGTGTATGTGTGTGCCAGGCTTTAATGTGCACGTGTGTGTATATACCAGGTCTTCATATATATAAGTGTATGTGTGTACCAGGCTTTGATGTGCATGTGTGTGAGTATACCAGACTTTCATATATATAATTGTATGTGTGTGCCAGGCTTTGATGTGCAAGTGTGTGTGTATACCAGGTCTTCATATATATATAGTTGTATGTGTGTATGTGTGTACGTGCGAATAGGATGCTACCGATTCAATTCGTATGCGGGTGGTAACTTTAGCCGGGTACCCAGGTTGGCCATGTATTTTCGTGCGAGTGTGTGTAGTTACCTCGCTTCACACCAGGGTGGAGAAAGAAAAAGTCTTTCAAATAACAGTGGTGTTCAGATCACACACTCCAAACAACTTTAGTGTATACCACATGGCCAAAACCAACACTCACCGATTCTCCTTCACTTCGAACAGACGCACATGTTTGTCCCATGCGACATCTTCAGGCATCTCCGCCTCAGATATCGAGATTGAGAATATCTCCTGTAGGGAAATTGGGTTAGAACTTGAGCAGGAAGTATAGGGGGTCCAAAATTCAGGAAATGGGATTGGCAAACAAAACCACTATAACAGGTTGCGTGCAAACTCGCCACGCAGATAGTCTTGGCTGGTTGTACAGGCGCACACTCGTACAGAAACATTTGTGTATACATAAACAGTCTCAATGGTAGAGCGAGCGCAGGCGCAAACTGGCACCAAAAGAAAAATACACTCATTGATCCTAGGTATGGAATGGTATCACAATAACTGAATCATACAGTAACCTCTATGAAATGTATTGGAATCCCGAGGATGTAATTCCGAAACCGATTCAAGGGAGGCTATGACTTAAGAACTTTAGGAGATATATAATTAAAAATATATATCACACACACACACACACTCTCTCTCTCTCATTTATATATATATATATATATATATATATATATATATATAATAGTATATATATATATATATATAATATAATAATATATATATATAGTCGACTACTACCTACCCGTTACCGTTAGTTAGGTTAGTTAACGTAACGTACGGTCCGGCCGACCACCACGACTATTAGTTCTACTTAACTTAAACCTAAA